GGACGACGCAGCCGGGAGGGCAAAGGAGCTCCAGGAAGAACTTCACGCGGCAAACCTCCAGCATCTTACGGGCAGCTGCGCAATGGCGGAACAGCACAAGGGTGAACTTCGGCAGATGGAGCTACTGCTGCAGCAAACAAGGGAATCGGCGTGTGAGGCGCGGCAGCAACTCCAACAGAAGCACGATGCGGATGAGGAGAAGTTGCGGGGCATAATACGCGCCACGGAAAGCACGAGGGACGATGCTGTTAAAAAGGCAATGGAGGGCCTGCGGCTCCTACGGGCAGTCGAGCACCTGGTGGAAGGGAACAGCTCACTGTACAACGAACACACCGGCGCGCAATGGGCCCTCCTCGGCACCGCCGTGGACAGCCTCCAGGCTGCGTGCTTGGCGTCTGCGGCAGCAATGCGGCAGAGGCACGAGGGGGAGCTCCGTGGACTCCGGCAGGAGCACGAGGTAACAGTGCGCGTGCTGGAAAAAAAATTGGGCATAGCAAAGGCCCTGCTGAAGCAGCGGAACGAGGATGCGGAGCAGGAGGCTGAGGCATTGCGTGCGTTGCACGTGGTGCGTGTGTCGTCCCTTGTGAAGCAGAGCAGCGTTCTTGCCGCCGCGTACGCCGCGGAGAGACAGTCTATTGCGCTGCAGGAAGAGTTGGCCCGCGTAGAGCTCGCTGTATCGCTTCGGCGTTTGATGATGGAATCACTCCACATCGAGGAGATGGGCCGCGAATGGACCGAAAGCCATGCTGCGTTTGCGTCACACTGCGCAGTGGAACATGCTGCTTGGATGGAAACTGTTCGTAAGGTGCTGGCGTCTGTGAGTGATGCGACCCAGCGCAGCAGGGCGAAGTGGCGGGAACAGTGTTTCTTTGACTGCCTGCGGCTGGAGGAGAACATGCGGGGGATACTCTGGGTCTGGGAGTCAGGTGAGTTGTCTGTGATGCACGCGTTGGGAGGGAGTTTGCTCTCATGCGCCGAGGAGATGGAATTGTATGGGCGTGAGGTGGAAAGGGCGACGAAAGCAGTGCTTTTTGAGAATCACCTTCCCGCTGGGTCAGCTGTACCGCCCAGTGTAAACCCTCTGGTGATGCTTATGCTTCTGGAACAGTACAAGCAATGCGCCTTTGAGGAATTTACTTTGCATAGCGCCTCTTTGGAGGATGTGCGTCGCGCCTGCGGTGTGGAGGTTGCCACAGATGCTTTGAGGGAGGAGTATGAGGTGACAATTACGGCTCTTGAGGATCACTTCTACCATGAGTTGCATGCCTTGCAGAAGGAGAATGCCGAGTTGAAGTCCAATCTGGGCAACCTGCGTGAGAACCTGGAGTTTCAGGCCAACCTTGATCTGCTGGAGGAGGAGATAGTGCTGCGAAACGCGCAACAGGAGACTCAGCCCCACACCGATGGGCTTTACTCCGGCAGCCACAGCGGGAACGACGTGGCCAACGCGGTGACGTACAGCCGCAGTAACAAGGGGATTGGGGGTTATTTCTCCTCCCTCTTTCGCCGCTCAGCGGCGGCGGCGGCGGTGAACGACGCTGCCCCACCGAACGCAAGAATAATGGGGACCTCATTATCTGGCGAGAACGGCGGTGTGGGGGCGGCGCTTCCGTCAGGGCGCACGCCGCCGCCAACGGCGGGGCGGCCGCAGCGGTCAATCCATCCCTCCCGCCCTTCCCTGGTCCCCGGCTCCGCGTCGAGAGTGAATCAGTTGCCGCTGTCCGGCAGGAAAGCGGGCCATGCAGCTTCATCTCTGTGCAGTACGGAGAACTCTCGGAGATGAGAATGTTTTGTACTTGGCCTTTGAGAAAAATGGGAACAGTGCGGGAAGGTCGACATCTCGTCTGTGTTGGGCGCTGAAGTCACAGCGCGGTGCAACTTACTGATTCGACTCCTTTTTTTTTTGTTGTTGGTCTTTTTTCACTGCCTCTCTTCCCCTGGTCGACCCCGCTTTTGCGGACAAAGTCACTATTAGGTGTCAGAGGTGAAGAACTCCTCCCTACTTTGAACTTTGGCTAGTAGTCGCCATATAGAATTTAGGCTGGACCCATACTGCGATGCTATCGCGGGTAGATTCTTCTTCAGGGTTGTAAAACTTCGTTGGTTTCGCAAATGTGTGGCCGTGGTGCGCCTCCTCCTCATTTTTTCTTTCTTCTTTTTTTTCCATCCCCGCACGGGCCTATCAAAACGGAAATTCATGACAATTGCGTCTCGCTTGCCTCCCCTTGCTTTTTTTATTGTTGTTGTTGTCGGTCGTATAAAAGCTGCTACAAGTGTTTCTAAAGCCTTTCCATAAACTTAAAAAAAAAGCTATACGCAATCATGGTGAACGTTGCTGTCATTGGTGCTGCGGGCGGCATTGGTCAATCCCTTTCCCTGCTGCTTCTTCGCGAACTGCCGTTTGGGAGCACCCTGTCCCTCTTTGACGTGGTTGGCGCGCCTGGCGTTGCTGCCGACCTTTCCCATTTGGACCGTGTCGGTGTCACCGTGAAGCACGCTGCCGGGAAGCTTCCCCCTGTGCCCCGTGATCCTGCCCTCACTAAACTGGCTCAAGGTGTTGATGTTTTTGTCATTGTGGCTGGTATACCGCGCAAGCCTGGTATGACGCGCGATGACCTGTTCAAGGTGAACGCTGGCATTGTTATGGACCTTGTCCTGACATGCGGCGCGGCCTCTCCCAAGGCCTGCTTCTGCATTGTCACGAATCCTGTGAACAGCACCGTTCCCATCGCTGCCCAGGCACTGAAGAAGCTTGGCGTGTACGATAAGAATAAGCTGTTTGGCGTGAGCCTACTCGATGGACTGCGGGCCACACGATTCATCAACAACGCCCGTCACCCTCTTTCCATTTCGTATGTTCCGGTTGTGGGTGGACACAGCGACGTCAGCATTGTGCCGCTCTTCTCGCAGATTGCAGGGCCGCTTCCCGCCGAGTCGACGCTGATGGAGATTCGCAAGCGTGTGCAGGTGGCCGGAACGGAGGTGGTGAAGGCAAAGGCAGGTCGCGGCAGTGCAACGCTCGCCATGGCGGAGGCAGGTGCCCGCTTCGCAATGTACGTTGTTAAAGGGCTTCTGGGCCTGGAATCACCCCTGGTATACGCGTTCGTCGACACCGACGGCCAACACGATTGCCCCTACCTCGCGATGCCGGTGATTATCGGAAAGAAAGGCATTGTGAAGCGCCTTCCTATTGGCCCTATCACGGAAATCGAGAAGAAGATGCTTGACGAGGCTGTCTCCGTCGTGAGGAAAAATGTTGCGGCTGGTGAGACTTTCGCGCGGTCGAAGCTGTAAACCAAATGTACTTGTTTCTTTTCTTTTGTTTTGTTTTTCTGCTATTCCTTTAGATGTTTGCAGTCGGCCACACCGAACTCACGTCCGGGCGAAATCTAGGAAGTGGTAACTGGGAAAGAGAAACTGGTGGGCGTAGAACTGCCAGGGTATTTTCAATGTAGTAGTAGTAGAGAATTAACAGAGACGAGGTCTGATTCTTGCAGAAGAAGTAATATGCAAATGAAAGTCGTCAAAGACGAATAGGATGGGTAAAATTTTGGGGTCCCACGAGGCATCTCACAAGAGCGATAATGTTTGGACGTTTTTTTTTCTTTTTCTTTTTTCTTTTTTCTTTTTTCTTTTTTTTTCTTTTTTATTTTCTTTCTTTCTTTAAGTGTTTGGTAACCCTTCGAAGGTTTGTAGTGGGGCTGAATTACGGCGCTTGCATCTGCCTCTGTATGGCTGCAAGGTTGCGTGTTGCCTTCACGTTTCTTGCGGCCCCCTGTCTTGTGTTTCTTACGGTTTGTAACTATTCCTCCTGCTTTGGTTCCAGTTCTAGTGTCTGTGTCCCTCCGTGGCCACTTTGGCGTCTCACGAGGGTCTCGGCAGCAAGCTTGTTAGGGATACAGCCGCCAGAGATGCCCTCTCCTGTGGTGCTTACCCGGTCCGCCCCAGCGCGCGCCCTCACCATTCAGATGTTTGATCGCCGTCTCAAGGGCCTTCAGCGATGCCTTGTGGACGCACCGGCGTGTGATCTGCACAAACTCTGCGCGGAGCAAATGCTGGACCGTCGCGCCTTTGTAAAGCGCGAGACGCCAGTGGTGCTGGAGGTTGGGGCGCATACTGGCTGGTTTTTTCGTCACATGCTGGAGAAGAAGCAACTCTTCGGGCTGAAGCAGTACATTCAGACGGATGTATGCGAGGAGCGACTGAATCGCAACTACGAGGAAGTGAAGCACATGATTCCGCCGGATGTAGAATTTGTGCAGATATGCTGTGACGAGGAGGAGCCGAATCCCTTCGGTGTCCCTGAGCGGACTGTGGACATGGCGGTGTCGTGTCTCTCCATGCACTGGGTGAACGACCTCGAGACGGCCATGGTGAACATCCGCAGGGTTTTGAGGAAAGATGGGTTCATGCTGCATTGCATGTTTGGCGGCAATACCCTATATGAGCTCCGCGGCTGTTTCTCCATGGCCCAGACGGAAGTGCTGGGCGGGGTGTCGCCGCACATTTCGCCCATGATTGATGGCGCAGGGTTGTCAACGCTTGTGCTGCAGGCGGGGTTCAATCTCCCCAGCATCGACGTGGATCGCCATCTGCTGCTCTACCAAACGCCCTTCCACCTTATGGAGCACCTGTCAACGATGGGGGAAAGTGCGTGTCACTACAAGCGCCGACCTTTGAATCGCGATGTGCTGCTTGCGGCGTGTGCCACGTACGACGCCATGTACAGGAAAAACGAACTCATTCCTGCAACGTTTGAGGTGTTTCACACCATCGCCTGGAGCCCTAGTCCGACGCAGGCGAAACCGCTTGAACGCGGCAGCGGCATGGTGCCTCTTGCGAGCTGGAACTCGCGGAACAAGAAGCGGCTGCAGGAGGTGTTGGATGAGTTCGCGCAGAATCCGGACGACAAGGCGCTGCAATCACGGGCGGAAGACCTGTTCCAGCAGCTGCGTGAGGAGAGTGCGGCGTTACTTGAGCAAAAGGGCCTCGACGTGCGGGGACTGGATGGCAACCGCGACGAGGAGGCACGCGAGATGGAAAAGCGCAAGCCGGACCCTCCCTTCCAGCAAGGGGAAGGCAAACACCACTAGTTATCGGGAATCGGGGTTCTGAGAAGCCAATTCAAACAAAATTAAAGGAAACTTTTCAAAAGAAAAACTAAAAGAAAAAAAACACA